TGCTACCAAACCGGTCAGGGAACCAACAAATGTAGCAGAAAATTGATGCAGACAGAAGACTCCAGGCACCAGTTGATTAGAGGAAGAGGGTTTATTCTGGCCAGGAGGTAACTCGAAACACTAGAGTGTCTCCAAAACTGAGCCCCCCCGACTCAATCTCTTGCCTCTCTTTTATCCACTTTTCAGGGCGGGAGTGCACGTGAGGGTCATAAAACAGAGAGAGACGTGACATCATTCTCAACGTCCCGGGCTCAAGGGGAAGGTCAGATTCACCCGCATCCTTGAGACCAGTTGGGCCGCCTGCCGTCAAAGGCAAAAGAAACCCAAGGAAGTTACTAGGTTACAATCTAGGCCCCAGGCATGTCAAGGGAGCAGCATACAGACAACAGAAATGCCTGCGGCTTGGCTGAGGCCGACACAGGGCAGCTAGGACAGATTCTCTTAGCTCTGTTTTTGCTGTCTTGCCTCACTGTGACTGCAGTCCTCTCCTGCCCTAGTCCCAGCATCTGCAAATGCTGCAAATCTTGTGCTCAAGACTTACTTTCAGATACTGAAGAGGACATGGCACCTGCACTAGAGGGGCAGAGTCAGCCAGGCATCCCCAGCCTCAGGCCAGAGCGCCTGGTGTGGGTGAGCGGGCCTAACGGGTGGGAGCCCCTGGGCTGGTGAGTTTGCTCCAAGTGCAGCCTACACAGACGCTGAGCTGCTGACCAGCCACTGGCTGCTGCTGAGGCACAAAGGGCTGCTTTCATGCAGATGCACCAGGAAGGCCCCCTGAGGCGGGCAGAGCACCTGGGTCCTAAAGTGCTCTCCCTGCGGTGTGTCTGCAAGCATCGGGAAAGGGCATGTTGGAGGGCTGCCAGCTCCGGGAAGCTAACTTGCTTGCACAGGACAACTTTAAGAAAATCTGGAAAATGGTAAGATCTGAAGAGGACTGACTCTCGTCCAAGCAGAAAGCTGCCTCACCAAATGCCTTTTAGGGAGCATCTGCCTCCTGTGTTTGTGACCCTCCTTCCCTGGGCCAGTGACTGTCCCAGTGGGCAGGGAAGAGGCAGTGGAGGGGCAGGCTGGGCTGGCCCAAGAGGAATCCCCAAGGTGGGGGTTCCAGACACTCCCACAGAGTTTTAACAGGGCAACCAGGAGACCCATTGGGAAACCAGGAGAAAGAGATGCCAGGCCTGGCCTGTACCTGCAGCTGTCCTGGCACAAACACACAGGCAGCACCATTGGCCTGCACTGAAGGAGGCCTGTCCACCCTGCCCCAGGGGCCCTGTCCTGGTTGATCTCGGAACCAAGTCCTGATGGCTGCAGATCAGTTGAGAGCATCATTGAGGAAAATGCCGCTGTCCCCCAGGCCACTCTGCACACGCTGACGAGGGCCATTCTTTGAGTTCTGTTGCTGTTCTCGGGGCTAACTGGTCGGTGACGCAGAGGAAAGCACTGCAGACGGAATGACTAGCGTAAAAGGGAGACTGAGGCTCACTCCGGCACTCAGTAACTACCTATCTTTATCGATCTTCTTATATACTCTATAACATCCGATAAAAGTTTAAAATATCAAACAGTTAAGAAAGCTAAGTCACGGAAACTACCATAAAAACTCCAATTCCAGTACAATGACTGCTGAGCACATATTCAACTGATACGAATTGAGAACATTTTGGTTGGGGCTGAACCACGAAAGCACCAGGCTGTCTGCTCCGTTAGCCCATTGCCTTAAACTAAAACTAGCAACTATTACGTTAATGAGGAGAAAGGAGCAAAGTACAGCAGCCCAGTGCCTGGACAGAGTCCGGCCCCCAGCTACTACCCAGCGTGGCCCTGCGGCACATCCCTTTCTGAGAATGTTTCTGCTTTGCTGCAGGCCCAGGTATGTCCTCACGGTAAGGGAATTCCCATCTTAGGGCCACATTCTTTGGGGGGCACATGAGGCTAAACTACCAAGTTTGAGTGTAGGGGGCTGTACCCCTTCAGAACCCCGACCTTGGTTAGGATTGAGTGAGAAAGGAAAGGGCCCAACATGGGTGGCAGGAGCTTGAGCAGGAGCAGGAGAAACAAGAAGGAAGAGACAGGACAATCCTCCCTGGAACAAGGGTGTGTCCCCACACGCGAGGATTCTTCTGCTAGGAGGGCGGGGCGGGAGCGGCTGTGGCTTCTCTGGCAGCCTGATGCTACCGCCGGGCTGGAGGGGAGTTACAGGTGTGCAACGGTCTGTGCCTCTCAGAATGCCCACTCAAGGAAGAATCTTCATCCTGTGACACACCCAAATTGACGCCATATGCGGATGGTTCTCACTGCCAGACCCAGTACCCGGATCAGAGTCTGATGAGCTCTCTGCGAGCTGCAGATGAAGCCCCCCAGGTGTGGCGTTGTGCCTTCACACCCTGGGTGAGGCAGGGCCGCCGGGGCTCAGGGTGGGCTGCACCTGAGTGGGGACGTCAGGGACTGGCTCCTGAGACTGCATCCTCTGTCCACAGAAGGACCCCCTGTCACTGCGAGACTGTGCTCACCCAGCACATGCAAGCACAGAAGGAAGGGACAGAAAGGACCTGCTTTATTGGTGACTGAGAATAAAGTCACCATAATAATCCCCCCTCCCCCCGTGGTGTGGGGAAGAGCATTTGGCCTGCACAGCTGGGTGAGAAGGAGGCAGAGAGCAGGGCAGCCCCACGGCTCGGCCTGGACAGCACATGGCCCCACTCTCGGAAGGACCCTGGCTCAACTTGGTGCTCTGCTGTCCCCACTGACACTCCCAGGGACGTCACCTTTGCACTCACGTCCTGGGTGAAGTCCCAGGCACAGGGCAGCACACATGTGAGCAGAGGGAGCTCCCCGTGCACCGTGGATGTCCCCTGTCACTCCTGCCTCTCCACATGCACAGAGCATTCTCCAAGCCCTGCAGCGTCTGTAGACCCAGATGCAGTGAGCTCCAGGAGAGAGAAGCCCCACTGAGTCTCCACCCCCACATGTGCACTTTGGCGTAAGGATGATGTGAGCTGAAGACAGCTGAGACCACACAGATGAGGGAAGAGCTCCACCCTCTCCTTCCTTATGTGCCTATAAGCGGATGTAATTGGCAAAGGTGTCCCCTGCCCTCTCTGCCAGGACTGACCGCGGTCAATCAGCAGAGACCACAGCAGGCCCTCATCAGCCTGGAGAGCCCAGGATGGCCACGCCACAGGCCTTAATGCCCAGCCCTGGCTCCCACGAGTGTCCTGACGTTGACCTCCTAGTCTGCTGCTCCAGAGACTCTGATTTTATCAAGAGGACAAACTTGTGACAAGCTCTGTTGTGAGAACATGACACAAAGCCTCCAGCTGCCACCTGGGGTGTGTGTGCTGTCATTATCCCCACTTTAAAGATGGAAAGGAGAGGTGAAAAATGATGATGCAACTTTCCCGGGACCCCATCACTGACAAATGCCACAGCTGGAAAACAGCAGGCACCAGGGGGAAGGCGTCCTTTGCTGACCCTTCCTAGCTCTCTGTCACTGCCAGATAGAGAAATTTGGGCCTCAATGTAAAATACAGACATGGGGCCCCTTGTACAAAAAGCAGGGGGGGAAGTGCCGTTTAGGGCTTGAATTATAAAGTCTGTTCCTTTCTCCTGTAGTCTCTCTCTCTCTGTTTGTCATGGTATTCTTTTATTTGCTACTGAAAGTCATTCTAAGAAGGAAAATTAAAAATTAGAAGTCAACTTATTTTGTACAATGTCAATTGTAAATGCAAATATAGAAACATTTATCTTATTTGAAAAATCACCAAAATCTCTCAGTCTGTACTTTGCAGTTTGCACGTACACATGAGAGGCATGAGAAGCTGCAAAGGGCCTCACCGCGGTCCCCGCTCTGTGACGTCCTCCCCAGACCAGTCCTCCCTGGGGCTCCCGGTCTGGGTGGTGCACTGGTCCTTGCCACAGTCTGTCTCGCCCCGCCACAGTCTGTCTCGCCCCCACCCCAGCCCCAGCTGCTGGCAGTGCTCACTGTGCCCCACTCCCCACTGGTCCTCACCGCAGGGGCCCACACAGTC